GGATTGTATTGCATATATATCGCACCCGGATTACTTATCTCCACACGCGGTATTGCGACCGGAAACAGCTTCCGTCAGTTATGGTGGACCGACGGAATGATTCACCCCAGCGGACTGGGACACGCAGTCATGAGCGCCTGGGTACACTGGGCGGCGGGTTTCGTTTTAGAGGGACAAGAGCGTCGAACACGCACCTCAGCGTAGATGCAGCCCGGATGCGGGATGCTCATCTGGATCCGGGGCGCAGGGCTGCAGAACAACACCGGGACATGGCTGCACGAGCTGCTGCCCATCAAGACCCGGACTACAGGGCTGCGGAGCAGCAACAGAACATCACTGCACAAGCTGCTGCCCGTCAAAACCCGGCTCGGCGGCACCGTATTCATGCTGCAGAAACAGCAGCGGCAAGACAACAGCCCATCTGGCCAGCAGCTTACCCGCTTCACAACCATGTTCGGCGGCATTCAACCCACTGAAGCACGTGTTGCAGATCTAGTAGACGCACTCAACCAACGCGTCATCACGGATTTGTCCGATCTCACAGACCTCGAACCCCGTGTCGTGCTGCAACGGAACGAACCCAGGCACGCGCTCAACACACGCCTCCTGATGCTCCAGGCGCGCCGCAAAGGAGCGCGTTTGGTCAGCTGGAACGCGGACCACGTCCCGGTTAGGCAACATGGTGCAACCCAACAACAGCCACTCTCCCACATCGAAAAGGCTGTCGCAATGCGAGTAAAAGACGCCACCTTCGACCACACCACCGCCGACACTTGGTACTACGAGGGTGCACGCTACACCCTACTCGACACCACTGCTGCCGACACCGGCGCGTGCCACAACAATGAAGTCGAGGCGTGTGGCCTGCTTACCGACAGCCGTGAACCGCCCGACGACGGCCGCGGCCCGTACTGGCGCCTCCACTACCTACCTGCAGCTGTCTTGGTCCGTCCCATTAAAGGGCACGCGCCCAAAGCGATACTAGCAGACTTAGCGGACTTCGCAACCAAAGGTGCTGCCTTCGCCATCGTACCACGGCCCTCACCGGCAGCAAACATCACCGTGCCAGCCGCCAACACCGGCACCACCACCAAAAATGTACGTCGAGTCAATGTACCACTTGGTGACTACTACGCCGTCACCGACTACTTCGTACAGGGCCGTAGCTTCAAGGAAGAATGCTGGGTCGCGGACCTTTCCGTCCCGCCCGGTGGCCTCAAGCATGCAACCATGTACGTGTTGCTCACCCGCTACAAGACACTCGACCACATCCGCCTCCTCCGCCCGCTCTCTACCACACCCGACGAACGAACACGAGTCGTCAAACAGTTCATGGCAGCAACCAAGCTGGACCCCGACCTGGCGGCCGAACTCCGCCTCCTCGATCGCCGTGCAACCGAAACCCGTGAACGCTATACGACCGAGTACAAACACGCCAGAAACCTAGAGGAACGTTGGACCTCCGCAGCCAACACTACCTGACACGTCCAACAGTTCGTCTGCCTCGCCACTGGATGGCGTTAAATGCCAGCGTTGCACGGCTCTCTAGCCGTCCGACGACACGCCCGCGCGGCTGGGTGCATCCCTTGCACTTCTGGGTTCGACTCCCACACGGGTGTAGTAGTATACGCACGGACCGTCGTACTCGTGCCGCCCAGCC